AAAAAATGTCTACTCCCATTCAGACCCAGCTGTACTTAGAAACACAGTAAACAATGAACTGCTACAGATATATACTTGGATGATGACCAACAAACTCACTCTCAACATAGACAAAACATACTTCATGCTGTTTGGCAACAGAGCCTTAAATATCCAACTTAACATATTGTTAATCCTTTCAGAGTTTCGGACGGACTAGTACGGCTTATGCACCAGGGTCCATGACGTACTAGTACGTCTAAATTCTAGCACCCTCAAATCTAGTGAAAGAAAGCTGGTAGGCCTACATATGAAAGAATGGGTCTATGTGGTCAGTGTGCGCAGTATAAAAAAAAAATCCTGCAGCACACAGTGCGTAATGAGAAAAAAAACTTTGACCGTGTTTTTGGATTAAAACAGCGACATTGCACTGTATTTTCGTATGGTATTTATTGTTGTATTCTAGTTTTCCTGGTCTCATTGTATAGAATGGAAGACATATTATAGAAATTGAGATGATTTTGACTGGTTTTACAATGAAAAGTACCTTGAAATTGAGCTCAAATTAGCAGAAATGTTCGATTTTTACCAAAGTTTATAAGTAAACAAATCATGCTAAGCGTCCAATACACGTCAACTGGTGAGTCTAATATTCTTTCACAAGTGTGCCGATATTATTTATACCATTTCTACACTAATGCAGTAGTCTGCATAACAGTAAATCTTCTATTTTTTGTGAGAATAAAAATTCAAAGTGGAAAGCAAAAGAATGTAAGAAGGGCATGGAGACATGTCTAATGAACAGAGGAAATGTTATTTTAGTGCCAGAAATGTCTTTGTTTATTCTGGACCCTATTTGGAAATTGGCATCTTTTGAAATTTGTGTGAAATTGGCAAAATTGCAAAATTCTGACCACTGTATTGGATAGTTGAAATTGGTAAATGGGTGGTTACTTGTACTCATTTGATAGAAAAAATGGAGTTCTAGCGAAATAGTTATGATTTTTGTCGACTAGTACACTGGAATTGGCCGAAAATACATCTCAAAATGGGCAAAATTGCCGATATGTAAACATCGTTGAGACCGCTAACTTTGCGAGAGCATAATTCCATAAGTTTTCCATCAAATTTCATACTTTTGGTGTCATTATAATCGGGAAAAGATTCTCTATCTTTTCATAAAAAATAATTTTTTTTTTTTTGAAATTTGGGCAACCCTGAGAACAAGTCTGGGAGAGGGCCTGGGGACCCTGAAAGGGTTAAATGGTTCCCCTATATCAAGACAAATGGAGGGCAAATTTTTAGGTCTTCTCCTTGACTGTAATCTTAAATTTCAGTCCCATACCCATCACATAGCCAAGAAAATTTCCAAATCAGTAGGAATCCTTTCCAAGATATGATACTATGTACCACAAACGACTCTCCTTACCCTGTACCACTCTCTAATATATCCTTACCTCACCTATGGTATTTGTGCCTGGGGCTCAACCACAGTCAACCACCTTAGACCCTTAACCCTTAAACTGTCCAAACGTAGATCTATGTTTGCACGCGTAGCGCTCCGAACGTAGATCAAAGTTCGATTTTACATTGTTTATGTAAAAAAAAAGTAAATCTACATTCGGAGTGCTATACGTGCAAACGTAGATCTACGTTTGGACAGTTTAAGGGTTAATAATCCAACAAAAAGCTGCTGTGTGGATGATAACCAGCTCCTGTGCTAGACAGCACACCCCACCACTTTTCAAGAGACTCAACTTGCTAAATATACAAGACATACACTCTTAACCCTTTCAGGGTCCTCAGGCCCTCTCAGAGACTTGTTCTCAGGGTCCCCCAAATTTAAAAAAAATATATATATATATTTTCTTATGAAAAGATAGAGAATCTTTTCCCGATCATAATGACACCAAAAGTATGAAATTTGATGGAAAACTTATGGAATTATGCTCTCGCAAAGTTAGCGGTCTCGACGATGTTTATGCATTGGCGATTTTGCCCAATTTAAGCCCTATTTTCAGCCAATCCAATGTACTAGTCGACAAAAATCATAACTATTTCGCTAGAACTCCATTTTTTTCCATCGAATGAGTACAAGAAACCACCCATTTACCGATTTCAACTATCCAATACAGTGGTCAGAATTTAGCAATTTTGTCAATTTCACACAAATTTCAAAAGATGCCAATTTCCGAATAGGGTCCAGAATAAACAAAGACATTTCTGGCACTAAAATAACATTTCCTCTGTTTATTAGTCACGTCCCCACGCCCCTCTTACATTCTTCTGCTTTCCATTTTGAATTTTTATTCTCACAAAAAATAGAAGATTTACTGTTATGCAGACTACTGCATTAGTGTAGAAATGGTATAAATAATATCGTCGCACTTGCAAAAGAATATAAGACTCACCAGTTGATGTGTATTGGATGCTTAGCATGATTTGTTTACTTTTGAACTTTGGTAAAAATCGAACATTTCTGCTACTCTGAGCTCAATTTCAAGGTACTTTTCATTGTAAAACCAGTCAAAATCATCTCAATTTCTGTAATATGTCTTCCATTCTATACAATGAGACCAGGAAAACTAGAATACAACAATAAATACCGTACGAAAATACAGTGCAAAGTCGCTGTGTTAATCCAAAAACACGGTCAAAGTTTTTTTTTTCTCATTACGCACTGTGTGCTGCAGGATTTTTTTTATACTGCACACACTGACCACATATACCCATTCTTTCATATGTAGGCCTACCAGCTTTCTCTCACTCGATTTGAAGGCGCTAGAATTTATGAGTACTAGTACTAACGTACTAGTGACCAAGCCATACTAGTACGGCCAAAACCCTGAAAGAGTTAATATTGTGCCTACTACATATACTGAGCAGTAAACTCCACTGTAAACCCAACCCTAAAACTACTCCTTGACAGTTACAACAGAATGCACAGCAACAATACAAGGCATAAGGCACTTTTCAACATCCCTCGAGTCAGTCTCTCACTATGCAAGAACGCTATGCACATGAAGGGCCCAAAGATCTGGAAGTTGCTACCAGAACAGGTCAAGGATCCCCTGACAGCTTATAAATTTAGGACTTTGCTAAAAAATCATCTCACAATATTAACCAAATTAACCAAAACATCTGCTAACTAGTTTTATTATGTGACCTCCTGGCTTTTAATTCTGCCAATCCATAAAATATTACCACCTGCACCATTACTTGTAAGGTAGATTTTGTGTGCAATTTCAAGATTATTTTACCGAACCTTACTCCACCTTACTACCTCTCACTTGTATTAAGTTTAATTAAGATTGTAAAACAGTTAATCACTACTTCTTGTCTAGTTTTAAGTATAGTTACTATGTACTATTATCTTATCTAGTTTTAATTAGTTTCTAAGTATTAGGATTAGTTTGCCCAAAATTCCTCGGCATGATAGTGGCTATCTTTGTATTTAGCAAATTAAAACTGTAATTACACACTGTAACCTTTACAAAGAAATAAACTTTACTTTACTTTACTTACTAAAATGGGAGTCAAAGTGGGCAAAATCACGGATGTGCAAATTTCGCTGATGCAACAAAATTCGTGATAGTTAATTTCATCAATTTTGCATCAAATATCATAGTTTTTGTTTTATTACCTTCAGAATAAGATTCTCTACCATTTCATAAGGAAAATATAATTTTTTATTTTAAATTCTTGGACCCTGTGGACAAGTTTCAGATCGGGGGTCTGAACACTGAAAGGGTTAACTCATTGCTAAAACTAATCTAAAACAGCACGAAAAACACGAATGGCCTGGAGTATACCTGGAGAGGGTTTCGGGGGTCAACGCCCCCGCAGCCCAGTCTGAGACCAGGCCTCATAGTGGATCAGGGTCTGATCAACCAGGCTGTTACTGTTGGCTGTACATAAATCAACATATGAACCACAGCCCGGCTGATGAGGTACTGACTTTAGGTACCTGTTCATCTCCTTCTTGAAGACAGCTGGGAGGCAGTTGAACAGTCTTGGGCCCCTGACACTTATTGTGTTGTCTCTTGGTGTACTCGTGGTGCCCCTGCTTTTCGTTGGGGGAATGTTGCATCTTCTGCCAAGTCTTTTGCTTTTGTAGGGAGTGATTTTCAAGTACAAGTTTGGTACTAATCCCTCTAGGATTTTCCAAGTGTATATTATCAATATCTTTCTCACCTGCATTTCAGGGAATACAAATCAAGGGACTTCAATCATTCCCTGTAATTTAGGTGCTTTATCGTACTTATGTGTACCATGAAAGTTCTCTGTACTCTCTCCAGGTCAGCAATTTCACCTGCCTTGAAAGAGGCCATTAGTGTACAGCAATATTCCAGCCGAGAGAGAACAAATGATTTGAAGAGAATCATCATGGGGTTGGCATCTAAAGTTTTGAAGGTTCTCATTATCCATCCTATCATTTCTCTAGCAGATGAGGTAGATACATTGTTGTGGTCATTATCAAATATAAAATTTGATTTCTTTTATGCAGTATACAATTAATTTAGTTTACATGTAATAAATTATTAGGTATCAAAGAAAGCCACCAGCATGTGGTGCAGGACCTGACCTTGAGATCTAGGGCACATTCAGTGTTGCCTAACCTCCACTGCCTGCACCCAACATGACCTCTCATCTCGAAATTCCTTGATAGGTGACCTCACCTCAACTGTGTGACGTGAAATTACTTAATCAAAATACAGATGCTCCTCGCTTTACGGTGGTTCAACTTATGATATTTCAACTTTGCAATTTGTACAATAGCGATGCATTTTAACATCATTAAAATTATCAGGAACATTGCTACAGCATGGGAAGAAGTCATTTATTTACTTTTCAATACTGGTACATGTATTTAGATAGTTTTTATCGTATCATATTCATATTCAACTTATGATATTTTCAACTTACAATGAATTCTTGGAACATAACTCCATCATAAGTCAAGGAGCACCTGTATATTGCTTAAAATTGCCTGCCCAAAATACATTTATTTTTGAACTCACTAATGGTGGTGTTGGTAAATGGTGAGTCTTTGGCACTAGGAGGACGCTGGCGCTCCTGAAGCACCGTGGGCAGAGCCTGCATGTCAGCGGCACTCAGGTGAAACTCTTTGTTCTGATGTAGCTGACAAAGATGATCTAAGAGCAAGTTGTACAGGATCTGGTTGGCCTCGTCCACAGAAGACTCACACCCAAATGTTACTCTCTTCACCAGGCTACTATATAAATCTGCAACAAAATGCACTATACAGGAGTACTCAAAAAACAGTACATATACAGTACTCAAAAAATACATATACAGTACTCAAAAATAGTACATATGCAGTACTCAAAATAACAGTACATATACAGTACAGTCTCTCCTCACTTAATGGCAGAGTTCCGTTCCTAAGAGCAGGTTGGTAAATGAATTGGTCGTTAAGCGAGGAACATACTATACTGGTAGTAGGTTTGTGTCGACCATCTTTTGATATTGTTTTAATGTTACCTTTGCACCATTTATAACTTTGTTAGAATATTTTTAAATGTTTATACAGTAGTGTACTGAATATTGTAATAAACAGAATAGAGGAAATCATCTCTAATATACATTATTTAGGCATGCAAACTGGTCAGAGAGCCTGTTGTAAGTCCAAGAGGTCATTAAACGAGTACATCATTAAGTGAGGAGAGACTGTATTCATAAAAGTTTACAGTACTCAAAAAAATGATTATACAGGAATACCCAAAAAATAATAAATAAAAAATTAAAGAACATACATAAAGGAAAAAATAAACATTAATCCTAACAACAATCCTTTTCCTAGCCCACAAATGTAAGATTTATCATTAGTAAGCTCATACATACAAATAATTCTCCATGGGGAAGTAGAAAAGAATCTTTCCTCTGTAAGCCATGAATGTTGTACGAGGTGACTACAATGCCAGGAGCACTGGGCTAATAACCCCTTCTCCTGTAGAAAACACTAAAAAAGTGAAGAAGAAAAACTTTATAAAACTGGGATGTTTGAATGTGTATGGATGTAGTGCAGATGATAAGAAAGAGATGATTGCTAATGTTATGAATGAAAAGAAGTTGGATGTCACAGCTCTAAGCAAAACAAAGCTGAAGGGGGTAGGCGAGTTTCAGTGGGGAGAAATAAATGGTATTAAGTCAGAAGTATCCGAGAGAGTTAGAGCTAAGGAAGGGGTAGCAATAATGTTGAAAGATCAGTTATAGGAGAAGAGGGAATATAAATGTATAAATTCAAGGATTATGTGGATTAAAATAAGGGTTGGATGCAAAAAGTGGGTCATAATAAGAGAAAGGGGGGGGGAAGGAAGAGAGAGAGAGAGAGGAGAGAGAGAAGAGAGGAGAAAGAAGAGAGAGAGAGAGATAAGAGAGAGAGAGAGAGAGAGGAGAGAGAGAGAGAGAGAGAAGAGAGAGAATGAGAGAGAGAGATGGAGAGAGAAATGAGAGAGAGAATGAGAGAGAGAATGAGAGAGAGAATGAGAGAGAGAATGAGAGAGAGAATGAGAGAGAGAATGAGAGAGAGAATGAGAGAGAGAATGAGAGAGAGAATGAGAGAGAGAGGGAGAATGAGAGAGGGAGAATGAGAGAGGGAGAATGAGAGAGGGAGAATGAGAGAGAGAGGGAGAATGAGAGAGAGAGAGGGAGAATGAGAGAGAAGAGAGGGAGAATGAGAGAGAGAGAGAGAGGGAGAATGAGAGAGAGAGAGGGAGAATGAGAGAGAGAGAGGGAGAATGAGAGAGAGAGGGAGAATGAGAGAGAGGGAGAATGAGAGAGAGAATGAGAGAGAGAATGAGAGAGAGAATGAGAGAGAGAAGAGAGAGAGAGAGAGAGAGAGAGGAGAGAGAGAGAGAGAGAGAGAGAGAGAGAGAGAGAGAGAGAGAGAGAGAGAGAGAGAGAGAGAGAGAGAGAGAGAGAGATTGATTGATTTTGGTAGATGTTAAGCGAGTGTGTAGGAACTTTCGAACCAAGTTTGAGAGTAATTGTGGTGGGGGACCTAAATGCTAAAGTAGGAGAAACATTTAAACAGGGTGTGGTAGGTAAGTTTGGGGTACCAGGTATAAATGATAATGGGAGCCCTCCAATTGAAATTTGTATAGAAAGGGGTTTGGTTACAGGTAACACATATTTTAAGAAAAAGAGGATAAATAAGTATACAAGATATGATGTAGGGCAAAATGAAATTAGTTTGTTGGACTAGGTATAGGTAGACTTCAAGATATACATGTTTATAGAGTGGCCACAGATATATCGGATCATTTTTGAGCTGTAGCTACAGTGAGAGTACAAGGTAGATGGGATACAAGGAAAATGGAAGTAGCAGGTAAGAGAGAGGTGAAGGTTCATAAGCTAAAGGAGTAAAATGACACAAGTGCAACTATTGTGACAACGTTTTGCTCTCCAGGAGTTTTGTCACGCCGTTACAAACAATACATGGACACAGAGGGTGTATATATAGGCTTAGAGTGAGGTTTAATGCTAGTGGTAGTAGTGATATAAATTGCAGTAGTAGTACTGATACAATTATCTGAACAATTATCTTGCATTACACCTCACTCTAAGCCTATATATATCCTCTGTGTCCATGTATTGTTTGTGACAAAGTTTCTGGAGAGCGAAACGTTGCCACAATAAAATGTCACATTAGTTGCACTTGTGTCCTTTTACTTTACATAGTGTCGGTAATTCTACCAACATATATACAAGCTAAAGGAGGCAGTTAGGGTAAGATATAAACAACTATTTGAGGATAGATGGGCTAGTGAGAGTATAAGGAATGGGGTTGATGTATGGGGTAGGTTTAATAATGCAGTGTCAGTGTTCATCAGAAGTATGTGGTTATAGGAAAATGAGTGCAGGAGGGAAGAAGAGCAATTGGTGGAATGATGATGTAAAGAGATTAGCAAGAGAGAAAAAGTTAGCATATGAGAGGCATTTACAAAGTAGAAGTGATGCAAGGAGGGAGGAGTATATGGAGAGAAAAAAAGAGGTTAAGAGAGTAGTGAAGCAATGTAAAAAGAGAGCAAATGAGAGACTGGGTGAGATATTATCAACAAATTTTGTTGAAAATAGGAAAAAGTTTTGGAGTGAGATTAATAAGTTGAGGAAGCCTAGGGAACAAATGGATCTGACTGTTAAAAACAGTAGAGAGAAGAGTTATTAAATGGAGAGTTAGAGGTATCAGGAAGATGGAGGGAATATTTTGAAAAAATATTAAATGTTGATGAAGATAGGGAAGCTGTGATTTCCTGTATAGGGCAAGGAGGAATAACATCTTGTAGGAGTGAGAAAGAAACAGTTGTGAGTGTGGGGGAAGTGTGTGAGGCAGTGGGTAGAATGAAAGCAGGTAAAGCAGCTGGGAATATAAACACATATGCAGTATAATGTGATTCTTTATTGACAACGTTTTCCCAAACACAGTGGGCTTTATCAAGTCACAAACAGATCTACCTAGGTGGAAGGTATGTGAGTATTTATAGGATGAAGTCAGGTTGAGAATGCTGGGTCAGGTGGAGAATGCTGCATGTGACAATCTACCGGGTAAGGTTATAGAGTCTAATACTTTGGGTAGCTTGGAGGAGAGATTGGATAAGCATATGAGTAGACCTTCTGCAGTATTCCTCCATTCTTATGTTCTTATGGGGGATAGCGATGAAGAAGTTTCTTGACGAGGGGTTCAGCTATGTTATAGAAGCTGCTGATCTGGTTGGAGTTGTTGGATATAGAGATAAGTGATGATTCCAGGATTCTTTGGTATTGAGTGATGTCTTCTCTGGTGATAAGTCTTGCATTTCTTTAATTGATTAAACGGTTGTGTGAATTTCGGTGTTGAACATAGGCATTCCTTGGATCATCAGATCTGCCTGTGTACTGGGGTTCTGAAATACGTGTTTGGAGTTCTCTGGATGTTTTGCCGACATATTATTTGCTGCAGTCATTACAAGGGATTGTGTATACCACTGCAGAGGATTGAAGCTTGTCTTGTCTATTACTGGTAATGTCCTTGATGGTGGTGGATGTGGAAGTAGATGCTTGGAATGAGGTTTTGGAGAAGATGTTGGAAACATGTTTGGTAATAGAGTTGGTGGGGAGGACTATGTATCTCTTCTTGGTGGTGTCTTCTCTGGGTGTGTTAAAGATGTTTAATGCCCATTGTCTGCAGTCTCTAATAAAGTGACAAAGATAATGAAGTTTAGAAAATACTTGTTCAATAAGAGAGTATTCTTCTTCAAGGAACTCACTGCTGCAGATTCTAAGTGCACGTAGGAGAAAGCCTATAATTACACCACGTTTAGGTTTGCTGTCAGGGTGAGAGGAGAAGTGCAGAAGATCGTGTTGGTTGGTAGGTTTCTAATAGACTTTAAAATGAAGTTCATGGTCAACTTTGCAGAGAAGAACATCGAGGAAAGGAAGAGTGCTGTTGACTTCTTCTTCTAGTGTGAACTGGATAGAGGGCTCGATGTGGTTGAGCTTGTGTTGGAGAGTGTGAACGTTGACGCGTCTGGGAGTTATGACGAGAATGTCATCAACATAACGGAGCCAGGTGACGGAAGAGGGAATAATAGTAGAGAAACGCTCGGCTTCCAGATGTTCCATGCATAGGTTCGCACTAAGTGGCGAACCCATGGGTAGTCCAAAAGTCTGCTGAAAGAGGTGATTTTCGAAAGAGAAACATGTAAAGCCAAACACAGTTCAACAAGATCGATGAAATCGCTGGCTGGAATAGGAAGATCAAGGGAATCATCAATTTTCTTGCGTAAGAGATCAATGGCTTGTGTAGTAGGTACTTTGGTGAATGGGGAAGTCATGTCCAGGTTAGAGAGTTTCTTGTTCCTGATGTTGATGTTGCGAATGCAACTGAGAAGATCACCCGAGTGTTTGAGAAGTGCTGGACTGGTTGTGCCCCAGAGTTTAGAGAGGTGTTTAGCAAGAATCCCTGAGAGTTGGTGAGGAGCACTGCCTATTCCCGAGGATATGGGCCTCAATGGGATACCTGGCTTGTGAGTTTTTGGCAGGCCGTACATTCTGGCAGGTCTGGGGTTGCTGGGAATGGTGTGCAGGAGTTTCTTCCCTTGCTCCGAGTCCCTCAGAATACGGTGAGTCCTGTGAAGAAATGTTTTCGTAAGGTTGTTCACTTGGTTTGATGAGAGAGGTTTGTAGGTATCTGGGTTATTAAGCAGGTTGAGCATTTTGTTCCTGTAATCATCAGTGTTCATAATTATGACACCATCTCCTTTATCAGCCGTGGTAACCCTGATGGCCGTGTCTGCTGCTAAAGTTATAAGTGCAATGATGTAGTGTTGAGATATGACTGGAGAGCTGTGTGTTGAGATGGCCTTGAAGATAGCCTTTTTGGAAATCGGAGTCATTATGTCTGCAATTTTTAGTGATGAAATTGAGGTCTTGTTTCAGTTTTGGAATTCCTGTTAAAAATTTGAGGCCTAAGCCGAGGGCTTCAGTTTCTGTGGTTGACAGTGGACAAGAAGAAAGATTTTGAATAATTTCAGGTCTTCCTGAACTTTTCCACTGACTATTATCGCAGAGAGTTTGGAGTTTCAACAGAAAATCAGACTTACTAGAACACTCCAAACTCTCTGCAATAATAGTCAGTGAAAAAGTTTAGGAAGACTCTTCCTTTCCTCGATGTTCTTCTCTGCAAAGCTGACCATGAACTTCGTTTTAAAGTCTATCGGAAACCTACCAACCAACACAATCTTCTGCACTTCTACTCTCACCCCGACACCAAACCTAAACGTGGTGTAATTATAGGTTTTTTCCTACATGCACTTAGAATCTGCAGCAGTGAGGTCCTTGAAGAAGAATACTCTCTTATTGAACAAGTATTTTCTAAACTCCACTATCCTCATCACTTTATTAGAGACTGCAGACAACGGGCATTAAACATCTTTAACACACCCAGAGAAGACACTGCCAAGAAGATACATAGTCCTCTCCACCAACTCCATTACCAAACATGTTTCCAACATCTTCTCCAAAACCTCATTCCAAGTGCAAGTATCTATTTCCACATCCACCACCATCAAGGACATTACCAGTAATAGACAAGACAAGCTTCAATCCTCTGCAGGGGTATACACAATCCCTTGTAATGACTGCAGCAAATAACATGTCGGTGAAACATCCAGAGACCTCCAAACACGTATTTCAGAACACCAGTACACAGGCAGATCTGACGATCCAAGGAATGCCTGTGTTCAACACCGAAATTCACACAACCATTTAATCAACTACAGAATCGCAAGACTTATCACCAGAGAAGACAACACTCAATACCGAAGAATCCTGGAATCATCACTTATCTGTACATCCAACAACTTCCACCAGAACAATGGCTTCTATAAAATAGCTGAACCCCTTGCCAAGAACTTCTTCATCACTATCCCACATAAGAACATAAGAATTGAGGAACGCTGCAGAAGGTCTACTCATATACTTATCCAATCTCTTTTAAAAGCTACCCAAGTTTTTAGACTTCTTCACTGTACTCCGAAGATTGTCACATGCAGCTTTCTCCACATGACCCAGCATTCCCATCCTATATATAGTCACATATGTTTCACCCAGGTAGATCTGTTTGTGACTTGATAAAGCTCACTGCGTGGGCAAAACGTTGTCAATACAGGATCACATTATAGGAACTGCTTAATTGTTTATATTTCCATTGTGTCAGTATTTTATACCATTTATTTCCATATTAGCATCATATTGAAGCATTTTGTCCTGTCTCCAAACAATACACTCACCTCCCTCTCCCCTCCTCACAGTCTTACATACACCAACAAGAGTCTTCATTAAAGGTAAAAGTGATTTAAATGTTCATTTATCCATTTCATTATTGCTTTATATTTATTTCTCATTATTTTCTGTATGTAAAACTATAGTTATTCTCTACAAAATGTATGTTTTGTTAATAATTTTGGGTGTCTGGAATGGATTAATTGGATTTCCATTATTTTTTATGGGGAAAATTATTTCGGTTTTCCTGATTTCTGGGTTTTGTCAGACTCTCTGGAATGGATTAATCATGAAAACCGAGGGTCCACTGTATGTCTGCCACACCCAGTGGCTTGCAGAGGGGGGAGGCAGATGGCGTGGTGGCCCCGGACATCCAAATGGGGGGGGGGAGAGAACCAATTAGGGAGGGAAATAAGATAGTGATTTTGAAATTTCAGAGGTGATAAATCAATTTTTGGAGGCTCACTGCACTATAGAAGCAGTGGTTAGCCCTATATTCCTTTAACATGGTGTACCCTTTCTCTCCAGAGAAAATGGTGCCCCCCAATTGGAGATGAACAAGAAAGAAAAAATTTAAAAAAAGGAATGTTTTGACTTTGTAAATTATTACAATAATGATGTGGCAGCCATTAGTTATGTGACGAAATTATTGATTTTGTGATGCTCCTTTGAGCTGGAGGGAATAGAATTCCCCCTGATCTTAAAGATGCTCTGGAGTCTTTACTGCAGTATGGGAAGGATGTCTTTCCCAGGCTGTGTGTTTCATACACATTACTGCTTACAATTGCATTTTCAGTGGAAGATCATTTTCAAAGCTGAAATTAATAAAAACTTATCTGAGGTCTTAAATGTCACAGGAGTGACTGACCAACTTGGCTATACATTTAAAAATAATTTCTCACAGTTGATGTAAACAGTGAAGCAGTTCAAGTGTTTTTTGACAGGAGGTGTCATTTGGGGAAAAGAACTTAATAAATTTGGTTGATTTATATTTAAATCGAATAAAGTGGGGACCAGCAGCTCATCCTGCTAACACATAACAGTTTACCAACCATGTATGTAAGTGGGGACCAGCAGCTCATCTTGCTGACACATGACAGTTTACCAATAGTGTATATAAGTGGAGACCAGCAGCTCATCCTGCTGACACATGACAGCTTACCAACCTTGTATGTAAGTGGAGACCAGCAGCTCATCCTGCTGACACACAACAGTTTACCAACCTTGTATATAAGTGGGCACCAGCAGCTCATCCTGCTGACACATGACAGTTTACCAACCTTGTATATAAGTGGGGACCAGCAGCTCACCCTGCTGACACATGACAGTTTACCAATATTGTATATAAGTGGAGACCAGCAGCTCATCTTGCTGACACATGACAGTTTACCAACCTTGTATATAAGTGGAGACCAGCAATTCAACCTGCTGACACATGGGCAGGAGTCTGATAAGGTCAAAGGAAAATGGAACTTGAGCAATGCGTAGGGAAGGATCAATTTTGACCTCTGAGGCAGATTGCGCCTCAGCTGCAGCACGGGCCTCCAAGCCTCCAATGCTGTTGCTGCTGCTGCTGCTGCTGCCCTGGCACATCAACAGCAGGTGTTCCACCGTCAGTAAGCCCCATATGCATTTTTGGTCCACTGGGAAGAACTGTAGCAAGAGAAATTTTTCATTTAATAGTAGATTTACATAAGCAAACGATAAGTCTTGCTTTCGACAAGATCTAGATTAATTGGAACTTGATATAATGTATTTCAAAGTTAGGATTATACTCCTAAGATACGTGTCGTACCAGTATGTGATAGCTATCAGTGATGCACTAGTACACATAATTCATAGTAAGCTGTGTCAAGTACTAGTTCATGATAGCTACCAGTGACACACTAGTACATAATGCCATTAGCACACAGTGTCCTATGTCATGTACTAGTATGTATATGATAGCTACCAGTGACATACTAATATGTACACGTAATTCATAGTGACCTCATATTTGTGTGAGGGAATGCATCTATACAGTGGGTGTACGCAGTACAGTAGGACCCCATATCCATGGGAGATAAGGTCCAAGACATACCACAGATACCCAAAACCATGGATAGTAGCGAGCCCTATATTTAAGTAATTTTTCGTTTACCCACACATGCCCACGATAATATTTAACTGATAAATTATGCACATTAAGGTAAGAATTAGCAATTTTTCAATGATGGGAAGCACTTCATGATTTATCTTAGGATCTGAAGAACTGTCACCATTACTACTTTTGTACTGAAGTGTCATTATTAAGCAAAATTAAGGGTTATCTTTGGGCCAGGGTAAAAAGCAGATAAATGAAACCATGGAAATCAGACCCATGGATATGGCAATCCTACTGTATATTAAAAATCCTGCCACATAGTGCATTATGGGAGCAGTTAACTTCTGATCTTATTTTTGGGTTAAATTAGCCACTTTAGGGTGTTATCTAGTGGTTTTCATGCTATAATTACAAACAAAACAAATTTCATTTCTTTCTGAATGTAATATAAAATTTTTAAGTACGTACAAAGAAAGCCACCAGTATGCAGAGCATTTCAGGCAGGCTAATACTAATGTTTACAGACTACTTAAGAACTAGACATTGAGTAGGTAAACAGAAGGACCCCCATATCCATGGGGGATAAGTTCCAAGGACCTGCTGTGGATACTGAAACCATGGATAGTAGCAAACCCTATATGAAAGTCCTTTACGTAACTATTATGTATAAAGTTTATTTGATAAATTATGCACAATAAATGGAGAATTATCACTTTTTTCCACTAATGAGAAGCACTTCACAATTTCTCTTAGGTCTTGAAGAACTGACAGCTTCTCTACTTTTGCAGTTTGGAACCATTATTATGCAAAATTAAGAGGTATTTTCAGGCAATAGTAAACAGTGGATAACTGAAACTGTGGATACCGAAACAATGGGTACAGGGTTCTACTGTACAAACAAATTCAGGGATTGGCTAGTTCTTGGTGCCAATAGATAGACCGAAGACATACTAGTGAGAGAAAATATCTGAGTCAATTTAAGAGGGAAGTAGCCTGAAAAAAGCGTCAATTGCCGAGGAGTAATAAATTTTGAACAATGTTGCTGGGATAGGTGGGGGCCTCCTACCCCTACTCCACTCCCTGATATATTTTACTAGGTTTTACTAAGTCTTCTTCAATTATTGGTACAGCCTAAATTATAATCAAACATTATTCTTTATTACCTGAGAAATAGGAAAAAACATTGACGATTTGTGTGTGATGGATGGCAAGTGAGAGGCTCGGGAAGGTGATAAATGAACAGAGCCAGAGGGTCATGTTAAATGAAGAGAGCCTGGGGGACGTGATAAATGAACAGAGCCAGAGGGTCGTGTTAAATGAAGAGAGCCTGGGGGACGTGATAAATGAACAGAGCCAGAGGGTCGTGTTAAATGAAGAGAGCCTGGGGGACATGATAAATGAACAGAGCCAGAGGGTCGTGTTAAATGAAGAGAGCCTGGGGGACGTGATAAATGAACAGAGCCAGAGGGTCGTGTTAAATGAAGAGAGCCTGGGGGACATGATAAATGAACAGAGCCAGAGGGTCGTGTTAAATGAAGAGAGCCTGGGGGACGTGATAAATGAACAGAGCCAGAGGGTCATGTTAAATGAAGAGAGCCTGGGGGATGTGATAAATGAACAGAGCCAGAGGGTCGTGTTAAATGAAGAGAGCCTGGGGGACGTGATAAATGAACAGAGCCAGAGGGTCGTGTTAAATGAAGAGAGCCTGGGGGACGTGATAAATGAACAGAGCCAGAGGGTCGTGTTAAATGAAGAGAGCCTGGGGGACATGATAAATGAACAGAGCCAGAGGGTCGTGTTAAATGAAGAGAGCCTGGGGAACGTGATAAATGAACAGAGCCTGGGAACATGATAATGTACACAGCCTGGGAACATGATAATGTACACAGCCTGGGAACATGATAATGTACACAGCCTGGGGACATGATAATGAACACAGCCTGGGAACATGATAATGTACACAGCCTGGGAACATGATACAGTGGACCCCCGCATAACGATGGCATCACATAGCGATTTTTCCGCATACCGATTACTTTTATCGCAAAATTTTTGCCGCGCATACCGATTAAAAACCCGCTTACCGATTTTCGTCCGAGACGCGTCCAATGTGCCCTCAGCCAGCCTCACATGTGCCGGCCGTCCCATTGTTTACCAGCCAGCCTCCGCGGTAACATCCAAGCATACACTCGGAATATTTCGTATTATTACAGTGTTTTCGGTGCTGTTTCTGGAAAATAAGTGACCATGGGCCCCAAGAAAGCTTCTAGTGCCAACCCTGTGGTAAAAAGGGTGAGAATTAGTATGGAAATTAAGAAAGATTTTGAAGGGTTTGGGGCTAACCCTGAGAAGCCTATGCCAGTTGTGGAATCCATTGTGCCTACTTCAAAGATTAAGGAAATGTGTGCACAGTGGGTTGAACTGCAAACCTTTATAGATGAAAATCACCCTGACACAGCTGTTGCAAGCCGTGCTGGTGACTATTTCAATGACAATGTTGTGGCCCATTTTAGACAAATCGTAAAGGAACGGGAGGTACAGAGCTCTATGGACAGATTTGTTGTGCGACAGAGGTCCAGTGACTCTCAAGCTGGTCCTAGTGGCATTAAAAGAAGAAGGGAAGTAACCCCGGAAAAGGACTTGCTACCTCAAGTCGTAATGGAAGGGGATTCCCCTTCTAAACAGTAAGAAGATAATGCTCTCCCCTCCTCCCATCCCATCAATCATCACCAGATCTTCAATAAAAGTAAGTGTCATGTAATTGTGCATGCCTTTTTCAGTTTGTGTGTATTAAAATTAACATTTCATGTGGTAAAAAAAAATTTTTTTCATACTTTTGGGCGTCTTGCACGGATTAATTTTATTTCCATTATTTCTTATGGGGAAAATTCATTCACATAACGATTATTTCGCATAACGATGAGCCCTCTTGCACAGATTAAAATCGTTAACCGGGGGTCCACTGTAATGTACACAGCCTGGGAACATGATAATGTACACAGCCTGGGAACATGATAATGTACACAGTCTGGGAACATGATAATGTACATAGCCTGGGAACATGATAATGAACACAGCCTGGGAACATGATAATGTACACAGCCTGGGAACATGATAATGAACACAGCCTGGGAACATGATAATGTACACAGCCTGGGAACATGATAATGTACACAGCCTGGGAACATGATAATGTACACAGCCTGGGAACATGATAATGAACACAGCCTGGGAACATGATAATGTACACAGCCTGGGAACATGATAATGTACACAGCCTGGGAACATGATAATGTACACAGTCTGGGAACATGATAATGTACACAACCTGGGAACATGATAATGTACACAGCCTGGGAACATGATAATGTACACAGTCTGGGAACATGATAATGTACACAGTCTGGGAACATGATAATGTACACAGCCTGGGAACATGATAATGTACACAGCCTGGGAACATGATAATGTACACAGTCTGGGAACATGATAATGTACACAACCTGGGAACATGATAATGTACACAGCCTGGGAACATGATAATGTACACAGTCTGGGAACATGATAATGTACACAGTCTGGGAACATGATAATGTACACAGCCTGGGAACATGATAATGTACACAGCCTGGGAACATGATAATGTACACAGTCTGGGAACATGATAATGAACACAGCCTGGGAACATGATAATGTACACAGTCTGGGAACATGATAATGTACACAGTCTGGGAACATGATAATGTACACAGCCTGGGAACATGATAATGTACACAGCCTGGGAACATGATAATGTACACAGCCTGGGAACATGATAATGTACACAGTCTGGGAACATGATAATGTACACAGTCTGGGAACATGATAATGTACACAGCCTGGGAACATGATAATGTATACAGCCTGGGAACATGATAATGTACACAGCCTGGGAACATGATACTGTACACAGCCTGGGAACATGATACTGTACACAGCCTGGGAACATGATACTGTACACAGCCTGGGAACATGATAATGTACACAGCCTGGGAACATGATAATGTACACAGCCTGGGAACATGATAATGTACACAGCCTGGGAACATGATACTGTACACAGCCTGGGAACATGATACTGTACACAGCCTGGGAACATGATACTGTACACAGCCTGGGAACATGATAATGTACACAGCCTGGGAACATGATAATGAACACAGCCTGGGAACATGATAATGTACACAGCCTGGGAACATGATACTGTACACAGCCTGGGAACATGATACTGTACACAGCCTGGGAACATGATAATGTACACAGCCTGGGAACATGATACTGTACACAGCCTGGGAACATGATAATGAACACAGCCTGGGAACATGATAATGTACACAGTCTGGGAACATGATAATGTACACAGCCTGGGATTACAGATTTCTCAGCTTATAACAGTGTGAATGTGATAGTTGTTTGGGTAGTTTCTTGAGATCAATTAATTAAAAGTATGGAAGACATAGTAAGGTAGACAGAAACTGGGTCTTTTTGTGGAACTGAATTGTTGTTAATACATCGGCCATTCCCCACCGAG